TTTATAACAACCAGTACAATTTTGCAAAGGCTGTGTTCTTACTTTTTTCAGGCTCAAAATGTTCTTATTTTACAAACGAAAATTATTTCGTTGTACAGCTGTATATTACTGTTATAAAAATAACCTTTTAAAACATTAATACTTTACTGTATCTGTTGGTTTTTCTATTTTTTTTTCATTCTTATAAAAACCTCATTTGACATTTTTCTTATAAAAACCTCATTTGACATTTTACCTCAGCCTCAATTTGTTCTTATTTTGTTCTTATTTTTAAAGCAATTTCAGCCTCGGTGTTCTAATAAGAATGTGTTCTTAAAAATAAATTATTTTACAACTATCATAAATCCACCAAATCAAATTTTTAGGGACAGACAATGACTCTATGAGGCTTGAAAATTTAGGTTATAGGTAGTGATGTGAAAAAATGTTGACATTAATATATTTTATTACAGTTGAACAACAGACCTTGAAATTAGAAGTTGGAAACCATCAAAACCACAGCACACCATTATCATATAAATAAAAGATTACTACTAATAACAGCCCAATTGTGCCATTAACACATCAACTGTTCATTAACAATGAGTGCTGTACTATTATGAAATCGTTGAATTTGAAAGCATTCACTGTTATATCACATACAGGGAACCCTGTAACAGTGCCTATCCCTAATGGGCTCATAACTAACCAAATGTTGTTTATAGTTGGCAATTGCTTTTGAGAACTATGCTGTGACCTTGTGAGTTGTAGGTCACCATAGTAGCCATTTTGGCAAGAATGTCTGTATAAGCTCATATTACCAATTCCACAAAGTCAACATTCGCCCTTCTATTCATCCACTTGACAAGCGAAACAGCTAGAAAACAAGCACATCCATCTTGTAGGGGGAAATAATACAATATAAACATTTAATGTGATCTGCTAGTAGTTTAAGTAATTGCCTTATTCATATAGTAGGTTAAAATGACAGCTTATTATTTTAGGTGTTTACTTGATTTTTATTGAAAAAGGATATAATCAACAACCATCATTAGGTTAAAATCTCAACACTAGGTCAAAATAATTAATATGTAGTTTAATTAGTTTAGTGCTCAACTTAGTATCTCATGATTACTGGTTCAACTAGAGCCAGTACAGTAAACCAGAATCTGAATAGCATCAAAATTAACCAACTTAAAATGAGACAAAAAGAGAGACTACAGACATAATTCAATAAGGAAATTGAAATAACCCTGAAGTAAAAAATATTAATAGATAGGCCTACATGTTGAAGGAGAGAGGAAGATTTGGGGACTGAATAATTGAGTTAAAACATAAGTTTAAATACGTAATACCAAAAAAAGAAAAAAAAAACAAAAACAAAAAAAACAAACCATATTTAACATCATCAATAACATTGTTTCCCTTTATAAATAAACAATTCATGGTATATACAGTAAAAAAAATCCCTCCTTTGAAACACCTTAATTAAGGGGACACCACTATTAACAGGACACTTTTTCGGCCATCAAACAAAGAAAATTATATATCTTTTAACACTACGGCTAACCCCTATTCAGGAGACACATCTATTAGAGGAAACTTTCTTTGGTGTCAAAGGTGCGCCTTTATAGGGTACTACTATGTATTATAGGCCTACTATCCTTGTGAAGTTTTGCAAATGATCCCTAGATAAACATATTCCATTACCTATTATAATTAACATGAAGAGAAGATACTATCTATCTAATGTACAAAGTTCAACAATCAGTCAGACGCAATCAATAAGTGCAAGCTTCACAGCAGTATATGACAGATTTGCATCTGATAATTTGCATTAGATAATATAAGAGCTGCCATCCCAACAAGTACCATCATTTTTGTAATATTAAATACTGGTTTGTTTTTTTTGTGATAGTTAATAGGTTACTTTTTCCAATGCTCAAACTTTTTATAAATTAACAGCATAATTTTAAATTAAATTATAAGTCTTATATTTAATTAAAGAATGAAACTTTTTTATAATGGAAATTATTATTTCTACAAAATGATTTTATTCACTTGAAGAGCATACTATTTTATTGTGTTAAAATGTTAGTTTGAATGTGTGAATGCAAATGACAGAGTTATTTAGCATAGTAGTAAGCAACAGATAAAAAAAATCACTGAATCTAATCATTCATAATAAAATATAGAACAGAAATAAAGCAAAAACTGGGTAAAATATATTCATTATAACTTAGAGATATTCACTCTGTCCCTATAGTAGTAAGTGCAGTAACAAACAAGGACATCATAGTACAACAAAGATTTACTGGTACTGTAAATCCCTAACAACAAAAGATGTACTCTAGGCCTTGACAATGGATATAAAATAGCTACTGGTTATAATGAGGAATTACTAACACTACAGGAAGATAAAAATTGACTTAAGCAATAAAAGGGCAGAATTATCTTGATTTGAAATTCATGTTTTCTTTTTTTGTGCATTTGTTTCAATCCATTAAGGGAAACACTCACTATAGTAATTACTAACTACAGTATTGGAATTCTGAGATGCTCATTATAAAAAATAAGGAGTCTGTTGTTGCTCTCATTTATGAGAAAATATGGAAATTTATAGCATTTCAATCTTGGATCTTACATTTTTAGGACAAACTTGTTTCTTTCATGATGAATTGTGTCGTATGTAGCCTAATTTATAATATGCTGTTGGCAGAGAATGTCTGCAATACAAAGGATATACATTAACAACCTTTCTACCCTCTCCTCCATGTTTCACTCCCAAAAGTCACAAAAATCAGACAAAACATGCGCTCAGGATGTTGGTTTTCAACATGATTGACAAGGGTTAATGTCGGATTACGCTAAATTATTACCAGATGATATGTGGGACTTCCATTTTTAAGTGTGTATTTCCTTTCGAAAAATGTTTCAGAACTACAGTAGTAAGAAGGGACGAATATTCTCCTCAATGTTATTTTGTCATTCAAACCAGAATTTTAGGCAACAGAATTTTCAAAATTATTTAAAAAATAAAAGACTGGCTAAAGTAAAGCATGCATGTGATTGTGAGAAGGAACTTTAACCACAAAGTGGAGCTTATCTTATCTTTTTCTTAATATATCCATCCTTGAACCTGCAGTGTACTGTATGCTGAAGATATGTTATCTTTAAAAAAATTAAAAAAAAATATCCCAGATCTGTTCCCTTTGTTGATACAAAGTCTGTTATTCAGAAGTTTTGCAAGTGATAAGTTGCTTGTGGAATTGTCTTGTAAAAAATAATTTGAAATCTCTGAAGTATGTTTGTGGCGGTTCAACGACTAACCAACCATTGCATTGCCAAGTGCACTTAAGATACCGCAATGAAATTGCTTTCTCATGTACTTCATGGAGAGATGATAAATACAGTTAATAATGTCACCTTTTCAGAGGATGCTACTAGACCAATGACAAAGGCGCAAGTTATACCATGTGAATACAGTATGACATATATCCTATCCAAGAATAATGCTCTGTTCACACTATACTATTAAGTTTTCATTTAATAAATATCTGTGATAATGTGGATAGACTTTAAATTATTTACTAATGTAAGCAACTGTACCATATACACTCTTATTTAAGCATTTGAATAAAATTACTCTAGAAATAAAAGGGTTAAATTTTACTAGAGTGAGAAAAGCTCCTAAAATTGATAAATTTATGCAAATTATTCAATAGAATTGTTGCAAAATGATAAAAAGTATATGTAAGTATTCAAAAGACAAGATTGAAAGAATCATCAAATATGATTAACAAATATAAGAAAAAGAGTCAAGGTTATTTTCTTTGAATAGGGAGCTTTTGATATGTGTGACGACACAACGCTAGAACGGAATCACTCATGCGTGACGGTACTACCTGGCGTCCTACGTTCGTCTGCATACGTAGATTTGGCCAAACTGCGTTCCAGAATCTACTTGACGAGGTGACCTTAAATTTCTTGCATGCGCAGATGACTTTTACTGACGTCATTACGTTCTATGTCCTACCGTCGTCATGCAATAGAAAGCTCCCTATTGACACCAGACTGGTTGAAAGTTCTCTGACCCATGAACTATGAACTATAACACATCATAATCTATTCTCTCATCAATCTTCTTGCATACAACTCCCTCCCCACTCACAAATGTCATGGATTCTTTTACAAAGCTTCTCATTAAACTACAATGCAACAGTAGCCTATCTTATTTGATAGTGTGTTGAGATAAATGACTAAAATAAGGGCTGCATGCACTATGGAGATACACTTAAGCCATAAAAATGACGCAAATAGAAAAGTGCTAGAGTTCAAAAGTACATTCATCTCCAAAAATTGGTTTCTCTGCCAATTCTCTTGCATTTATCTGACTACAGTAGGCCTGACTTTCTATCTTCTCTCAGTGGCAGCACTGGAAATGCTTTAAAGTTAAAGGTTAGACCAAGGTTCATGACAGGGGTCATGACCCCTGACAAAGACAAGAGGTCCAAGTTTCCTGACACTAACAAGAGCCCAAATTCATCGCAGTCCCACTGTGTTTGGAGTAAGTTTTAGGAACAGGTCCTGAATTGGCACTCTAAGAGTGTAAACATTTCTTTTGAAAGCAGTGTCCAAAAAAAATGACAAGGTCCTTAAGGTCCCTAGACCAACCACTGGCACCGCCACTCCCTAGCCTATATCTTTTTTAGCCTTGCCTGATTTTTTTACTGCACCATAGAGCAGCAAGTGTTGCATGGATATTCTAGCTTGTGCGCAAATTAAACATCTTCCTGTGATTAGCAGTTTAAAACCTTACTGTTGGTTCAGTAGGAAATAAATTAATTCACATTAAATTCCAAGGTTGACGTTGGCTTTCACCCCCGTTGTGCCACTTTGTAATTTTCTTAATTAATTTAGATTAACCTTTTCCGCACATTGATAATTTCGGCTTTCATCCTTCTCGATAATATTATTCTATGTCTTTCTAAGAAGTACATGTGGTTAAAATATGCACAAACCTCAAACGGATGTATCTGGAGAGCAGTTGGAAACGCACGGGTTCGATCGTGGAAAAATTCTATAGGATTCAGGCCTGATGACTCAAGACCAAGTTTATCTTCAATTACCTCAAAATTCTGTGAATTATAAAAGAGGAAAGCAAAAATTTACGTCATTAAATATTATCAAAATTTTGTGAATTACAAAAAGAAAGTAAAAAATAAATCAACAAAAATGTTCAAATTATATTTTTATGTACTCACAATTTTGTAATGATTATTTTTATTCAATAATTTACAATGCATACTTTATATTATAAAATTCTCTTATAATATAGTACATCTTTAATTTTTTGCTACTGTCTAGAATTTAATGTTCTATACTTTCATTTACAATTTATTAGGTTAAATTCTAATCAATATTTACCTTCATTTATTGAAAATGAATTATGTAATCACCTGTTTAATTATGTACACAACTGATGTTCAAAATAATGCTAGTACTTATAAACCATCAATTACATTGTTATTGTCAACTAGTACAATTAGGCACAATAAGGAAATGCAAGACAAGAAGGAAGATTACAACAAAAATCATGTCAGTGCAATTAGAATGAATTCAACGTGTTACTTTTTCTAGATCCTCGTGCCGACCTGTGTGGTAATCAAAAGTAATTGTTCTTTGTCCTCCTTCCATAATAATCAGGTCACATGACATAGACACTCAAGACATTTTAATATGGAGCATTTAGAATACAATGTGATGAAAAATTAATTGAAATGTTGAAACATCTAAGATGTAGAAACATTCCATCAACAATACATTATTTATTATTTATGGCATTTTTAGTAATATTTAATATATATATATTCTAAATTCTAATGACATGCTTAATATTTATTTAACACTTTTAATGTTTGCTGTTTATTTGTGATACCCTGTATGCGCTTGATGAAGCCATGACCTGGCTTTTATGTTTTTTTAAAATTCAAATTAATAATTCTAGGTTCCTGTACATTCAGATTATAAGGGACAGATTTATAGAATTATAATTAAAGTCAATGTGTAAAATATCAATGAAACAATTAATCATATTGTAGCAAATAATTTAAGAAATAATGACAGGAAGCAATATTATTTGGTTTAATTAACTAACCAAATCACTAGCATTATTAAAATGCAATAAAAATTTATTTACATATTAAGTAATGATTGTAAAAATGAGATTAAAGGAATTTTTTTATCTACTTCAGAAAAAGGAGCATTCAAAATATTAAAATAAAAGGGAAGATTTAACAAGGATTTGGAGCAGGCATCCAGCTTTCATAAATTTGCATTCCAAGTCTGCTAGTACAATCTTTTTAATATGCAGAACAAAATATCCAGAAAATCCTACATGAATGATTTAAAGGGACATTCCTGGGAGACTATATGGCATTCCTACGACTTTGTTCGACACTTAACTTATAGGTCTAGACATTCCCTGCAACGTTTTTTTCCAGTACAAAACATTTGTTTAATCATGACCAATCTCTGAATCTTATTGATGTGCCAATCAAATATTCAAATTAGTCTGTTTACAAGAGAGCCTGAATAAGATTTTTTATTCTTTGGCCCTACCAACAATTATCTACATAAAACCATGAGGCTGCACCTTTAAAGATTTTGTAGCAGGGAGCATATCCATGGCAACTATTAATAGCCTTGGCATTAGCAGTGAGATAAATAGGCAAATAAAGAGGAATGACAGTTTGACAGAACTAATGATTTACACTAATGGTAAGTACCTGATCTCCTTTTTCTATCTTATTACATTCCTAGAAAACATGAATTTTGTATCAAGAATTCTCGATTTGGTTTTTTTTTCTCACTGCTCCGAATACTATTAAGTTGTATTTTTTTTTTACTTGCAATATACAATTGTAAAATGCATTAAGATGTGATTTTCCACACATCAATCTTTTAATATTCGTACATACGAAAACAGCTTTTGTTTTCATGAAATCGATGAATACCATTAATATAATTGATTGAAACTGTAGCATGTAAAAATCACCAGAAATGCTCAATCACTTTATTTCTTGTCGTAATGCATTCGTAATAATAACTTAACAGCAAATGGGAATGGAAGCAGTTGGCGAGGTGGGTCTTTCAACTTTAAGGCCGAGAGCTTAATTCCTACTCTGGTCACTTGCTTATGCCCTTGTGAAATGTATTTTATCACTATTTTTGATCTATAGTATACCTAGGATTTAAAGGCATGTACTTAGTACTATAAGACGCTAATTTCTAGCTGCTGCATCATACAGGTAAATGAGTAGTCCCACAACAACAAGCCGAGTTTGTTCAATATACAGTCGAGTCTGCCAAAGTCGACTCTGTTTAAGTCAAAAAAATTCGCGTCAGTCGAATTTTTGAAAAAGTCCCAATTCTTTCCTATGTATTACTGTGTAAATTGTTTGTTTAAATCAAATTTTTATAAGTCGAATTTCAGCTATATCAACGGAATTTCCGGTCCGGATAGGCCAATTTTAAAGTAATTTCAACCACACAATTCGAAGTTCCAAATTTTGTAGCGTACGTGGGAAAATACACAGCCGTGGGAAAATACAAAGTTGAATCCTTGTTGTACGGCAACAAGTTAGCCAAGTCAAAACTAACATCTCAGACAGCGCGATGTGGAACTTGGATCACACGATCGTATGTCGTAAGTTGCAGTCTACTCTCACAATACAGACACCCCTCCAGACCGGCTCCAATGTTCAGTTTGTCGTCCAGTTCAGTTTAGAGAACTTGTATTGAACCCATTTTGAACAAGATTATTGTAGTCTGGGCCTAGCTATTTAACTGATTTATCAAAGCCCTGGATTCTTTTGGCTAGGCCTAGCCTAGCCTACGCAAATTCAACACATTATATAATAATACATGTTGTTTTGCTGTACTGCTCAGCAAATTTAATTATTACCAATAAAATTGATGCGATTTTTATATTGTTTTTGCGTGCATTTTTTTAGGTCTGTTTTTCCAAGCACACATTCTTTGTTGGGCAATGCCACTTGCTGGTCGGCAGTCTAGTTGTAAACAGAATAGGTCACGCCCCCCAAAAACTCTGCCTGCCCGCCAATTGGTCCGTTTTCGAGGGGTGTTTTGCACTAGACATGTGCTTCGGCTGTGATGACGTCAGATCGCCCAAAGTTTCATAGTGCGTGACAGTAAACAAGCTCGGTGTAATCAAGAATGTTTTGTTAAACAAATTTATAAAACAAAGCAAAAAACAAATAAGAAACCCTCATGGTATTATTTTAGAGTCAAATCTAAATAAACCTAACAAATTAGATTTTATTCTCTACAAATTTCCTCCGTAATAAAATTAGTAACTTGTTTTGAATGGCATCTTGAGGTGCATTTGCAATTTACACTGACGAATCTAACGAATTTGAATTAAGACGTCTACTAAAAAGAGTAACCAGTGGGAACTTGCTTTGTCAAGCTCCGTCTTTATTTCAAGTTGATTCCAAATGGTTTTGAAGGATTAAAAGCAAGAATATACACTAATTAAAACATTGGAATGCGTACCTAAATTTCACTTTATAATTAACCAACAAAACGTCTACTGGCGTGTCATGTTAATCAACAGATAATCTTCATGGCAATGCGAGTACAGCTAAGCGTCTCGTTTTCAAAGTGTGTGGTACGCTTGTCGAATTTTTGAAAAAGTCAAGAATACACTAAAGCAAGAATATACACTAATTAAAACATTGGCATGCGTACCTAAATTTCACTTTATAATTAACCAACAAAACGTCTACTGGCGTGTCATGTTAATCAACAGATAATCTTCAAGGCAATGCGAGTACAGCTAAGCGTCTCGTTTTCACAGTGTGTGGTACGCTTGTCGTTAAACGATGTCTATTTAACTATCTTCTAGTTTTTCCAGTGAGTGTTACCGTCCTGAATTGGACAAATCGTCCGAGATTCGGAATAAGGAGTTCATGTTTTCAGGAAAGTATTTTATTAAAAGAAGAATAGGAATGATTTTGGGACTTAAAAAAATGTTCGGTTTTGTGTGAAATTGATTTTGTGGGCATTGAGTACACATAGTATTGTTCTATGTTAATATATTTTTTTTTTTTCTCGAAAATATGCAAGTCGAAATCTGTATAACTCGATCTTTTTATGCCAGTCCCATTAGATTTGACTTAGGCGGAGTCGACTGTAATATATGTATTTGTTTCAATGTCCCAGGTAATAACTGAAAGTGCCTAGATTAAGCAATGCACTATATAAGATAGACATTTCTTTTAGAATATGCAGAGTACTTAAATCTGTATCTGGGAGGTAAGTAGTGTTAAAAAATAACTTACCAATGCAGGCCAAAGTATACTGGCACCCCTGGTTGAGTACGGATCACTACGTTTGCACCAAACAATTGTTTTCTCCACTAGAAATACCAGGTTAGTCTCTTCATGAACTTTAACCCAATCACGTTTTTCCCAGTCTTGCCCATCAAATTCTACATATACCTAAAGATAATAATTAAAAAAAAGGTAATTATTAGGAAAATTTCTTATTTATATATTTTAAATAATATATTTGAATTGAATATAAGAAGGCCTTATTACAAAGTTAGATATTTATAATTCATGTTTTTCCATCCAGGTATTTTACAAGGGTATGCACCTTCGCCTTAATTCTTTATCTTATTTAAGGCCTAGGCACACACAAATTCTCACTGGGGAACAGTGAATGAGATACAGATTTTTGAATATTTAATAACTGGGAGAAAAAGGTTTTGAAGGAAGTTCATATTTTACAGGAATGTTGAGTACTTCAGTTAAAAAAGGTCACCAAACAAAAAAAAAAACAAAAAAAAAACAGAAGAGTAATAGTAAGAACATCAAAAAATGTATCAATCAATATTTGTAACATAAAATTTCCAATGGGATGCATTGCACTCAGTATGAAAATTATGTAGCGAAATTTGTGATTGGTGAATGTATATAATTCTGAATCATGAAGCCAACGACCTTTGATGAATTTGTTAATATGCTGTACACATGCTGTGATATTTATAAATCGTCCTATATTACTTTAAAATAAATCTCTGAGACTGAGAAAAAAAAAGGAAAAAACATGTGTGAAAACCAGGTCAACGACTCCCTATTTACAATGCAAAAATTAGGAGGTCATCCATTACATTCATCATTTTAACAATGAGTAGAAAACATTGTTTCTGTATACCCGTCCTTCCCCCTAAAATAATACACAATTAAATGATTATTTTTGTCATGGTGAGATTATCATTTTCATAATAGAATACATACTGTATGCCAACAGTGTCAACCCCTCCCCCTTGCATATTTGTACCAAATTGACAACAATTTAATGGATGGTCCCCAAAAGTAAATGCTTGAGGTTATGTTTCTACTGAAAATCGTTCATTGAAAAAACCATTCTCAGAAACCGTTTTTTCTTACTCAATAAATAAACCACATCCTTAAATTCAATTTCTATAGACATAATTTATGATAGCCATAAAATATATTTTAGATGCGGGTGAAATCTATAAGAACAGAGATTTGTTTTTACTCTATATATTAACAAAAAATATTATTAACTCCTGTTTATTTTATTTGTCTATAAAGCAAATTTAAAAAAATATATCAATATCATTATATTTTATAAAAATAATCTCCCATCACAGAGAAAATAATACTGACTAGGCTTAATGACATCATGGAATAAATAATAACTTAAATATCATCTTCCTTTACAAACTGCAATATACCCATACTATAATACTGAGTGTGACTAACAGTACACACGTTAATACATTAATGGGTAGATATTTTGTATAAAGGATGTAATATATTCAATGCATACCATCTTTCCATTAACAGTATTTGACAAAAAATATCACCTTATATTGTGTTTTTACACAAATATTCAAAATTTGCACTATATGTCTGAGTGCAAAACAATCATACATGATTAATAGTAGATATCATTCATTATTGTTAGACTAGCAGGCAGCCAATAAAATGTAAAATGTACTCAAAGACGACTGACTGTTTGATCAAAGATATTAACCTCACACCAAGACAAAATCAATTTCTACAGTTTAAATTACACACCTTCACAACTTGGTATACACCTACGCACACTTTCATAATAAAAACAAAATTATCTATAGAATATAATTAGACCTTACAGAATTTTACATCATTTTCTCAAATGCCATTGAAAAAAACAAACAAACAAACAGAATGGTAAACTTTTGTTAAATTATAATTGAGTTTAAAATGCTTGATGCTTTGCCAAATGTATTTTCCAAAAAGGTCTCCCTTGTGGTTGTAGACAAATGTTTGTCTCATAGTATGAAGTAGATTTGAAAGCCAAGTGTAGGTAGGAATGAGAGATGGCTACAAACATGAACCACCCTAGGGGCTTAGTTGATGTGAACACAATGCGAGCTAATGCATCATTAATCATTCGCCATTAATGCAGAAACTCTTAAGACTACTTAAAATACAACAGATATGGAAACCACATAATTTACCTCACACTTGTAGAAACTTGTTTGTTCGCCTGTACACATAATATCCAACGTTATAATTATATTATTTACATGGACTAAGATTTTTCCATCAACTAGTTTAAATACCTTGAATTAGTAGCCTCGCTATGCTCCAACTAGCCGAAACATCTTGCGTAAATATCAAATAATATTTCTGTTTTTCTTCTTTTTTTTAATTGTGCAGTAACTCTACAATGTATTATCTGTCAAAACAAATCTTAATTCCATGTACAGATAATAGAAATAGATATTACATTACATCATGTATACCTGTACAAGCAAGATGTATTGTATGAAATGCATCCACTGTGAAGACTTGGAAAGTGCTCTGCATAAATACAAAGTACCAAATAGCACCAAAACAGAGTTTTTCATCTTTTCACATTCTTTGTGAACTTGTCTTCATTTAATATTTCTTTCTATTTTTTCATGAAACAAATAATTTTATAGAAATCTAATCACAAATCCCTTAAGTAATGCATGAGTATTGATGGATGTCTAGGCTGTAATAAGCCTTGACAACTGACTGTGGTGTTGTAATCTTTATGGAAAGGGTGCTGAAAACAGGGAGCTTATGCTTCAATATTTTCTTTAAACCTGGACAGACAAACACATGGAATTTTTTAGCTGGAGATTAATTCTCTTCTTAATAGTATCCTGTAGACCTTACAAGGTACTTTATTACATAGATCTTTAATTAAGAACAATATCCTTTTACTTTAATTGTTGTGAAGACTAAACTAATGATTTTGAAATTAATTTCCTACTTAAATGATACTTTTTGTATCATCTAACTGACTTACATGCATCTTCCCATAATAACCCCTATCATCCCAACATCCCTTTGGCTAGTTGTAACTACAAAATGATCAATATCCCTCTAATCATGTTAATTTACAAAAATGTGAAATGTATTAAAAACAACGAAAAACAAATTAAATCGGGAATAGCCTAGAGGCCAATCAATCATCAGGCAAGCCCACAGCTAATAACCTGTTTATGGCATCACGTGTGGGATCAAACGGCCTCGGCGCCAAATAACGCTTGCAGACCACCACATACTACAACCTTTCGCTGGTTACACTGTGAACACCAATAACTTGATACTAAATAAAAATAACTCGCTTCTGGTCATGAGACCTGAAGCGTGGAGTGTGAATTGATAGTTTACATCCTAGATACTGAAGGACTTGGCTTTGAACAACTGTAAATGAGACAGTAACAGACAGAATTAAGGACTATTTCAGCAATTGCCCAATACTCAACCCAAATACACAGAGGGGGCTGATGAAACAGTGTATACCTATTTTTTAAGAGTGAATAAATTCATATACAAGTTCATGTAATAGATTTGTACTAACAAGGAATATGGATGTTTTTATAGAGATATATATCTAGCCGAAGTCTTTTGCTAAATCATCTGAAGACATTCACTTTATAACTACAGGTACCTTTCACTCCTCTATATATGAAATATTTTCTGTTAGTTAAAATATTAAATATCCATTAGCTCTTTAGTTTTGTGCTACGCTGAGAGTAAGTTAGGTTAATAACATTATTAAACCTTAAAGAAAAGGTTATGAAATTTTTAAAAAGATGAGACATTTTAGATAGATAGAGGCAACAGATGGGGGAAGAATAATTCTCAAAGAAGTCCTTAAAGTGATACACAATGAAAATGGGAAGTGTTTAAGGACTTGTATTTGAAATACAAGCTTCTAACATCCTTGTTCATTGTTAGTACCAAGAAACCATGTCTGAACAACCATGGCATCAAATAAACAAACCTCATGGTTAAAATCATTGACCTATAAACAAATAAACAAGATTAAAAAAGAACATGGACTATGAGGTTAATTAATAATAGTCAATTTAATGTTAAGTTGGATATGACCTTGAATTCCTAGGCCAGCACTATTTACTACTACTCACAGTACATAGCTTTTAACAACTTCAGTCACAAAAGCCCATCCACTTCGACCTACCCCTGAGAATAGCTTTCATATTTATGGCTCCTGATATATCCTTCCAGTTTTAAGTTTACCATTGTTTTGTGGTGTAGATTGATGCCAAAATGATTTATTTGGCTGCAGCCTTTGTACACTTCCTATCAAATCTCAATTTTCTCTTATCTCCAAAGTAATTTGCTGAATGGTTTGAATTTAATATGTTCACTGGTCTGTTAAATGTATATAATGCATGCACTGTGTAGTCAACAATTTAATGGTTGTAAATTAAATGTGAACAAACCACACATACTGATATGCGCTTATTTCATTAAAACTTTGGTGAATCATTTCCCAATGAGGGGGTGGGAACAAAACTCCCTAGACAGGGGACGGGGTCATACATGGGTTAACAAAACATTATTGCACAGTTACATACTAGTTGAGATGTCAGATAATTAATTGAGAATAAATGCATGTCCCCCTATTGGGATTCCAATTCAGGACCCTTCAATTACATTATGGATTCTACAACACTAAAACAAGGTGAAGTTGATGTTTAACACTTACTACCTAGTATTTCCTATGTAGTGTACACCTACGGAGGTTAAAAAGATAACTATTTCCAAGTCATCACTAACAATGAGGACACATTTTAAATGTACCGATTCAGCATTTTGTTAAAGACTTTACACTACCGCAATCATCATATAAATCCACGTCATAAAATGTTAACAAAAAATTATACTAAACATAGAAACACCTAATCAACTTTAAAATAATGTTTTTCATTCTGGCCGAAAAAAAAACTAAAATTTCATAAAGGTTTATAAAACACAGCAATGAGCAAACTATATGGAAATATTTTAGAATACAGTAGACCCCTCTTTAGGACACCCACTTTTTTGGCCAACGTAATGGCCCCTATTCAGAAGGCATCCATGTTAACGAGACATTTTTTGGTCCCAAAGGTGTCTCCTTAATTCTACAGTAGTTTTAA